TCTCTCTCGGTAGTCAACCGGCCTTAGGGGACAGTACCCAGTTTCGCCGCCGCTCCTCGTGTAGAGGGCTCTCATCTATACCCGGTGGACAAACCCGGCTCTCGGCCGTCTGTCATACCTCGGAGTGCCGTCCTACCGGTCTCCCCTAAGAACCCTCGCCAGGCCAGCCAGTTTGCAGATCTGTTCGGACCAAGCCCGCGCAAACCTGGAATCCTGCCGACGACGCCTTCTCGCGTGCCGACCTCCGCCATCGCCCGCTCAATTTCGCCCTACGTATTATACATTCCGGTAGGCGTGTCCCCTGAAGCTTTCTCTCCGTGCAAATATTCGCCGAGTCCAAAACTGTCGCTTTCGTCACGTCGGCGCCTGCGCTTCGAACCATATTAAGGTTCAATCAATAACAACCGGCCCTTTTCAGGGCCAACAAGTTCTTTAACCAGGAATAGCTTATTTTCTCCAAAATTATCCTCCCCCTTTGAGCTCGTCACTCTCCATCCTTAGTGACCGGTATCAAATTGGCGCCCAACGTGGGGCCACGATTAAAATCGGGTCCGGACGGATGTCTGGACGAACCCCCCTTTACCAGTAAATGCCTCCTGCACCTCCGACAACTAGCTCTGGCACACCATTAACTTCTACGCGCAACCTACAAGATTTACCTTGTCGTCGTCGCAAGGGTGGTCTCTTGCGAACACCCCCGCTCATCCGACGGGTCCTCCCAGAGGATACCATCACAGAGAAACCTAGGAGAACGAAAATATCCGAAAGTAGACATTCTTCCTTGCTACTCGGACTAGCTGGACTCACCACTACTGAACAGCCTAGTATTGCAATCAGTTCCGACTCCAGTTTAGACCCCTCGCCTAGGACTAACGTTTCGGTTTCCCAACCAACCACTTCCGGGAGTGGTCTCCAACACCCGGTGGCGTCCAACAACCAGAAATCCACCTCAACTTCCAACATGGCTGACCCCGTCAATCAGCAAGATGGAAATCTCCATCTAGGGGATAATCCTAATGGCGCTGTTGCCCCAGGTGTGGGCCAAGTTCCTGCGCGCACCTCTGATGCAGCACCACCGGTCCAAGCACTATTTAATATTCCCTCAAATCTGACCGTGGACGATTTATTTAGCCTCATCAGAGCTTGCCAATCTTCCGCGCCCACTTTCCCCGAATACAGTGGTCTTGACCATGAAGACCCCCAAAAATTTTTATCCAGTAGCGAGCGTTATTTCTCTCAAGCTCGAACGGACGACGAACAAAAAACGCGCATCGTCGGCAAGGGATTAAAAGGGGATGCCTACAAGTGGTGGTCTGTTTACAAAAATCTTGCCCTCTCCTGGGAAGAATTTAAAGAACTTTTTCTGAAAAAGTACTCGGGACCAACAGCTATCATGAGACTTCAAGCCTCTCTATATTCCCAAAAGCAAGGGGAAAGAGAACCGGCCGCGGTTTTCTTACAGCAGAAGTTTCTCCTTGCTAAACGTCTTGGCACCCCTATGTCAGACTTCGAAATAACGACTCTTCTTCTCGAGTCGCTTAAACCTACGCTCCGCCGACTCGTTCGACCCACCAATCCCCAAAGTTTCTCTGAATTGCTCGAAGCTACTATCAAGGCCGAACAAGACGAAGCTGATTGTGCCCCCAAAAAACAAGCACCCGCCAAAGAAGAAGCAGTTAAAAAGACCTCGAATGAGGCGCCAAAGCTTCTTGAACAAAAACTTCCGCAGTGTCATTTCTGCCCAGAGCGTCATTTTCACCGTGACTGCCCTGTCTTAGCAGCTCGAAAAGCAGAACGTGGGCCGGAAAACTGGCGGGCCACGGCGGCCGCGACTCCCTCAACGACTGCCGTGTCTCAACCCAACCCGCAGTAAATTCTATTTACTCTTCGACACAGGACCTTCCACGTACACGGGTACGACTCGGTAACCGTGAAGTGGTAGCAGAAATTGACTCCTGTGCCTCTCACAATTTCGTTAAGCTTTCTGTTCTCACCGAAGCCGAACGAACCATGCTCCAACCCGGACCTTCTCACGCGAATTTAGCTGCAAATGGAACATACATGAGACTACTTGGTTCTATCCGCCTCGCTCCGCGCCTAGGAAATAAAGAGTACCCCGGTACCTTTCACGCTTGCCAAGACCTACGTGCAGACCTTATCCTTGGACGAGCTTGGTTAAAAGATCATCAAGTCCATCACGAACATCACACCGACTGTATCTACGTGGGAAGGGACGAACGCCAGCGCCTCTTTCTTAACCCTATACCGGGTGCGAAGGACTCTAACCATCAACCAATCGATTTTGATCTGTCGTCCAAAATACCTACTGAATACGCAAATAAAATTCGTTCTATCCTACAAACGTACGAATCGGTATTCCATAAAGGAGGCAAATTGCGACAGACTTTGGCTATACAACATGAAATTAAAATTCTTAATCCTAAACCCTTCCGAGAACCACCCAGACGTTTTTCCGAAGTTAAAAAACGTTTTATCGATGAACAAACTCGGGAGATGCTCGCTGACGATGTAATTGAACCAGCGACAGAAGAATTTAGTTCCGCTTTAGTCGTCACGGAAAAACCTGGTGGCGAATTCCGTCTGTGTGTAGATTATCGCCCAATCAACAAGCAAACAGTCGATGCCCCCCAAAGTTTACCGCGGATACACGAGGTTCTAAAGGACCTTGGAACGGCATCTATCTTCACTACTCTGGACCTTAAAAGTGGTTACTGGCAGGTGCCACTAACTCCAGAATCTCGCAAGTACACCGCGTTTTCCTCCCCCGACGGCGGACAATACCGTTTCCGTGTGATGCCGTTCGGTTTGAAAAATGCCCCCGGCACCTTCCAGACACTTATGAGACAGGTGCTATCATCCTATTGGGGAAAGTTTTGCATTGCCTATTTGAACGACATAATCATCTTCTCGTCATCTTGGGAAGACCATCTGCACCATCTATCCATAGTCTTGGAACGTCTCCACACGTATGGTCTAACGTGCTCGCCTTCCAAGTGTCATTTCGGCCAAACTAGTCTGCCCTACCTGGGCCACCTTGTCACCTCCGAAGGAAATCAAGCTCAACCACGACACATAGATGCTGTGCAGAATGCTCGACCGCCTAAGAATCGGAAGGAACTATCTTCGTTCATAGGAACATGCAATTGGTTGATGCAGTATATCCCAAATTACTCCATCCTGACATCTTCTCTCACCGACCTACTTTCGCCTAAGAAACCATATAAATGGACGGAACAGCATCAGAAAGCTTTCGAGGCGGTAAAGGAAGCTTTCCGAAACCCAACTCCACTAAGTCGACCTGACCCCAATCTCACGTTCATCCTCCAAACAGACGCAAGCGCTTTAGGCATGGGAGCCGTCCTGTTCCAGGAAGATGCCTCAGGCAAACGGCACATCATATCCTATGCCAGCGCTAAATTCAGCCCGACCGAATCGCGTTATCACTGCAATGAACAAGAATGTTTGGCTATTATATGGGCCATTAAAAAATATCAACCCTATCTGGAGGATCGTCCGTTCATTATCAGGACAGACAGCAAAATACTTACCTGGCTTGACCAGATGAAAGATTCCAAAGCCAAATTAGCCCGTTGGCGCATGCTCTTAAACGAATTTAACTTCCGCATCGAACACGTCCCTGGCAAAGAGAACGAATTGCCGGACGCGCTTTCTCGGCAACCAAACCCTGAAGAACTTTCCCCAGGGGAACCAGATTTGGGACGAGCCGCCTACCCATCCACTGAGGTTGTGCCAGACACTGCTCCCATCATCAACGCCCTTTATTTACTCACGCTCGCGGAAGAAATTGCAAATGAACAACAATTCGATCCGCTCATCGCCCGCCAGATGGAGCAATGGATGGATCTTCAAAGAACAGGGGCCAATGACCCTAGAGAAAATCAGTTCCTTCTTGAAAACCAACTGGACAGCAAGGGATTTTGGAAATACTGCCCTCAGACTCGTAAATGGAAATTACGAGTACCAACCGCAATGAAGCAACGTGTGATGTGGGAACATCACGATGCAAAATTAGCCGGTCATCCGGGTGCTGAAGAGACCACCAGGAGTATCCAGGAACACTATTTTTGGCCTGGAATGACAAGGGAGATCAAACGATACGTTGCTCAATGCCACCTATGTCTATGCACAAAACCTCTTCACGGACAACCTACGGTGGGACAACGTCCAAGATCCACTCGAACCGCCTGGGAGACCCTTGCGGTTGATCTAATGGGTCCCTATCCACTAACGAAAAAGGGACACCGTTACATCCTCGTTGTTACGGATCTGTTCACAAGATGGGTAGAAGCTTTTGCCCTGCGCTCCTCCGAAGCGCCGGTGATCACGAGAATTTTGGAGGAAGAAGTTTTCTCACGTTATGGATACCCTCGTCGCATTTTGAGCGACAATGGCCCACAATTTCGCAGCCAGACCTGGACTGCAGCCTGCACACGCTGGAACTGCACATTGTGGACAACACCGGAATACCATCCTCGAGCAAACCCTACAGAACGTCGTAATCAGGAAATCAAAAAAGGTCAACGACTAAGATTACACGAGGGGAATCAACAAATCTGGGACCAGCAGTTACCAGAACTACTGTTTACATTACGGAGACGAAGGAATGCGGCCACCGGGTACACGCCAGGCTACTTACTTTTCGGGCGAGAAATTAAACGGCCCGGAGAGTTTGAATTACATCCAGAACAGTAAAACGAGCCTGTACCAGACCCGGCGGACCAACGCGAAGAGCAAGCCAACCGCCGACAATATCGATACCAACAAAGATATGCTGGTCCACTATCCAATCCACGATTTCAAGTCGGTGACTTAGTTTATGCGTTAAACCATAAATTATCAAATGCTGCTGAACGCTACAACGCTAACTTGGATTTAGCCCGAACAGGGCCATACCAAATTACAGAGGTTGTATCTCCAGAAGTATATTGGATACAGAAGGAAGGAGGACCGCACAAAGTTCACCACTCACAACTTGTCGCTGTTCCTCCAGCAAGAAACAACCCAGAAGAAGTGCCAGCCCAAGGAGACCGAATGCTGAACAGGGCCACCCCTGTACCAGCAATCGCTACCCTCTGCGAGGCGCACGAAGAAGATGACACCATCTCAGAAGAGATAGTAGTGTCACCCGTCAACTCAGAAGAGAATTTCATATATTACAATAACAGTTCAATATTTCATATATTTCACAGAATTTTTCTTTCTCCATTATAAAAATATTATATGATAAGTATATATATAATTAAAAATTCTAAAATCTAATTTTCTTTGGGAAAAATTATATATATGTTCTCTCTGAAAAATGAAAAAAATGGCTTATTTCAAAAGGTTGACTGAAATCTAAAGTGGGATTTCCACTTTCATAAGTCGAACTCAACTGCCCTTTTTAAGTGGACATACGACGCATTATCATAAAGAACACGAAGAAACATTTTATTAAAATTTGAAAAAAATTGTAAAAACATTGATTTTTTCAAGAGCAGCAACCGGAGAACCTTTTCAATGAATTTACAGTTATTAAGCATCAACTGGAACACTATTCAATTTTTTAAAAAACTTTTGAACTTTTTCCTTAATCGCATTTAATCGTGCTCGACAACCATCTTTTGCATAAATATTTAATAAATACATTTCAATAAAAAGAAGGGTGGCTCCATTACAGGTAGGGTAAGTTCTATTAAAAACGAAATAAGCTGCTATTAAAACCTGTAATGAAGCCACAAAACTACTGCAATATATAATCGTTACGTTATCCACTGATATCCAGTAATCAGTGCCGAAAAAATAAGTAGTCTCGCCATCTACTACTATTTGTTGATGAAAATTTCGCATTGTAACGCACGGATATGTTTTCTGAATTATCAACTGGTCATCAGTAGTTGTACTCTGCAATCGTAAAAATTTTTGTTAAAAATTACATAGCATTACAAGATTTAAATCCTAATATCAGGATACCAAAAAATTAGGAAAGTCAGGAAAAACATAGCATTACAAGATTTAAATCCTAATATCAGGATACCAAAAAATTATGAAAGTCAGGAAAAACATAGCAGTACAAGATTTAAATCCTAATATCAGGATACCAAAAAATTAGGAAAGTCAGGAAAAAATTATGTTAAAAGGGATATCAAGGAAACTGTTGTAAATTTAATAATATCGAGATAATAAAAAAATCATAAATATTGCCCAAAAAATAATACTTTACATTTCTAATATAATCAAGTTCTCAACGCTTATAATCAACGATAAAAAGAAAAAATATTTTTGTTGACGTGAACAATACACTCTTGATTGAAAATTATTGTTTTTCGAATTATTGATAAAAAAATATATGCAAAATATTTTTCTTTTCAAAAATATATAAAAATTTAAATAGAAAAATATTTCTTCTTCTAAGTCGTTGATTATAAACGTTGTGAACTTCACCAAAGTCATTGAATGGAAGTTTTACTTAAGAAGAGAAGACTCTCTGTTAATTAAATGTGTCTTAAATAGAATTCTTATTTGACTTATTTGAATTATAGGAATTCAAGGTCTTCAAGGTTTCTAAAGGTTCTTAAACTCTGTGATAATAAAATTTCAATCAGAAAAATTAAATCACATACTTTAAAAAGAATTCGGAAAATTATTTTTGATTAAACCCTGTAGAATAAATATTTCATAATAACTATTATTATAATTGGAAACTTACCGGAAAAGAAAAAAATAAATTTCCAAAGTCTTCTTTGAAGTGGGCGCACACAACCTTGAGAGCCACTTCATACTTCATTTCTTCCTGTATTTTATCACGAGCTTCGCATATATTTTTTAGAAACCTGTAAGTCAAAAGAGTTTCAACTTTCTGTTCGAATCTCGTAACAAGAATTTCCATATTTTGACCAGTTAACCTCTTAAAGTGCCATAAGATGCCGTAAACAGACAGTAGACAGGTCCACTTTTCTCGAATTTCGGTTATATTCGGGATCTTTGTGAGTTTATTAAAAAATGTCCTTTGGGTTGCAAATGTAGCTTCTAGCAATTGATTTGCTATTTCAGTATCTCTATCACTAAGTAGGACGTTTAAGAATAAAGTGTTCAATTCACACCTCTTCTGTTCGAGACTTTCAGCTGTCTCATTAATGGGATTTTCCTTCGGCTGCCAGTCTGTAGTGCCGGCTGTCACCGATCTTCGTAATTTTAACAATTTAGCGGGAATGTTCAATTGATCATCAAGCGTGTTGGATTTTCGAACATGCGGTCGGTCCAAGTAAGTCGCTCGTGATTCTAACTTGTTAGCGATGCTGCTTATGCCATCTCCCAGTATATCACCCTTGTCGTCTCTATCTTGGAATGTACGCGGAAATTTCAACACTAATTGTCGGGCAATGTTTTTACAGACTTCTCGTCCGAATTTTTTGCTGTAGGTTCTCATATCGTCAATTATTATGCTGACTATTCTTGTGCGTAGCATAGGATTATCAGCAGCTTCGTGAAGCCATTGTAAATCCGGTAGAGAAATTCGTGCCCATGGTACTTCATATGTTTGCTATCCTTGAAAATTTGTCCGCCTCTCCAGCAAATTTCGTAACAAATCATTTGGATCTATAGTAGCATTTGTGATTATATTTTCGTCTTCCACTTGCGGATCGACTTCATCTACAATTGCTTCACCGACTTCTGAAAAAGAAATAAACAAAGTGGGCTCTATTTTAGAAACAAGTAAATTAAAATGAAAACAAAGGTGAATACTTAATATTATTTTATTGAAATAGGTGAGAATAGATTAGATTAATTATATTAGAATTGATTAATAAATTAGACTAGAAACTAATTTAAATATATTACTCATGTTGTAATACCTTGTAGATGAAAATCCTCCTGATTATTAACACCACCGCGTGAAGAAGACTTGTCACCATCGTTTGAATTATGAGTTACAATAGAGGAATTCTCGATTGTACTATTTAAATTTCTATCAATTTTCCCCTGCTTCCAGTAAGATAAACACTTTTTGTTCTCCTGCGTAATAACATAATACTTCGTCATCATCCACCGTACTCCCATCCTCATCCAACACAATGGTAGCACCTACAATTCTTAATTTTTCACCAGCTTTTTGCAGCAATTGATGAAAAACATTCTCCGTTTCCTTCATGCAGACTGTGGCTTTCTTACTCCTGTTTCCTGTCCACACCTTGAACACGTGCATCTGCAAATTGTAAAAAATATACACAGTAAAAGGAAAGTCTTATTTCAAGGCATAAAATACGTGTTATTTTAAGCTGCAATATTTTTAAGACAGTCCATGTAGAATATACGCAGATTTACATGCACTGCCAGTGCTGAATTCAAGACTCGTCTTACAATTTTAATAAAATTATTAGAAAGTAATTAAAAGCTTTGAAGATTTTCAAAGGTGACTGAACACAAAAAAAATAATGTTCATATCATTTCTGGAAATTCAATATTTTTTTCAGTACTTTTAAAAAAATTCTATGACTTCCCTTATTTGTGTTTACTTTTTCTTAACTAAAAAGTTAATTGATTTCTTTTACTTCTTTACATTATATGATCTAATAGCTACTTACAGCAAATCTATGCATCCCTGTCGTAAAATGTATGTTTGGGCAGAAAGGCAGAAACGGAAGTAATTTTCACCTCAGGAACAGGGTCAGGGGATAATAAGGATGAGCACGGGAATTTATAGACTTTTTCTTTTCCAAACTCGTATTCTTTTCCATTACTTTCGTAAACACCAATATATATATTTAAAACTATTTCCTCTTTGGATCCAATGAAATAAATATTGGTGAACGAATTATTAATTACAATGCATTTAACTCTACAAAGTTAAAAATTTCCCGCATCATTAACATTAACGCATACACACATGTTTTTCCTATATTCAATCCCACGGAAGATGACTTTTTCGGATATAAATAAATCACCTCCTTCTAAAAGACGGTCAGTGGTAATTGCGATATTAACATCCACTTCACAATGTTTAGGATTGTATTTTACAACACTATCTGTAGTTACAAATTTTGCATGGTCAAAGGGAATGGAAGCCTCTTTTAATTGATGTTTCTTTGCAACGGCATGAAGAAAATTTTTAAAGTTGCCTTGAACCCGTACTTCTTGTTTAAATTCACCGTGTTTACATTCGCAATGTAATGTTAAAGTTTGTGACAGAGGTCCGAACATTTTTGTTAATTCTGCGTAATGTAAGAGAAACTCGTGTTTCGGTATCAAGGGTACATCACGAAAGCAAAATTTTCTGAAATATAGATAATCTCTAATTTCTGAATTTAATATTCCAATCTGACCGACAGATATTGCAGGAGCACAAACCAAGGATGATATCGTCCTCAAATGCAGCATCATCTTCCAAACGGGGTCATTGAAATCCTTGACAGTATCTGCCACTACTGCAGGAAAAATCAAAAGCAACCGTCTCATTTGATTTGCAGTTCCTACCAACTTTTTTGCATTCGATTTGTTAACGACAATTGTCGGAATAAAGACAACGGTTTCAGAAAAAAATTTAATATCATTTAAACGAAAATTAAGTAAGCCCACTCTAAACCATCTTTTTGAAATGAAATATTTGATAATTAACCACATGTCGACCTTAACTATTCCTTCGAATAAATCATGAGCGATACATGGAGGTAACCCAGGAGACGCGACGTGATAGAATGCACAGCCCCACAAAAAAAACAAGTGTCATGTACTTTTGTCAGGAATACCCTAACCCTATGTATTTTGACGCGCTGAACACGAATCCGAGGTCCGTTTTGCTCCATCACGTCAGGATTTTTTTCTAACCTCAAAAAACATGTCGGATTTTAAGAAGTAAGCGATTTTTTTAAAAATTGATGTATTAACTTCAAACTTGGTATCTGGGGGTTTTTTGTGTCGCTGATTACGAATCTGAAGTTAGATTTTCAAAATCCAAAATGGCGGATCCAATATGGTGGATGAATTTTTAAAAAATTTTAAGATTTACTTCAAACTTGGTATCTAGGGTTTTTTTTGGGTCGCTGATTACGAATCTGATGTCAGATTTCCGAAATTCGATATGTCTGATTTAATATTAAGGAATTATTTTTAAAAAATTGTCAGATTATTATGAAATTTGGTATCTACAGGTTTTCTAAGTTGCTGACAAGTAACAATAGGGAAGTGCCATACGCCGATTTTTCTGAAACTTGGCAGTTTAGTAGTTTTTTGAAAACAATTTGACACGTATGTTTTGTTTTTTCCCAAAAGCTGATTTATGGGGGGGAACTACCCCTTGAATTTTTTTTTGGTAGGGGGACATTATTTTACAAAATTTTTTAAAAATTAATGTGCAATAGTGTATCTGGGGGTTTTTTGGGTCGCTGATTACGAATCTGATGTCAGATTTGAAAAATTCAAAATGGCATATCAACATGGACTTCTATCGGCCATATTAGATACGCCATTATCAATTTTTAAAAACTGACATCAGATTCGTAATCAGCGACCCAAAAAACCCCCAGATACACTATTGCACATTAATTTTTAAAAAATTTCGTAAAATAATCAGCTTTTGGGAAAAAACAAAACATACGTGTCAAATTGTTTTCAAAAAACTACTAAACTGCCAAGTTTCAGAAAAATCGGCGTATGGCACTTCCCTAGTGTTACTTGTCAGCAACTTAGAAAACCTGTAGATACCAAATTTTATAATAATCTGACAATTTTTTAAAAATAATTCCTTAATATTGAATCAGACATATCGAATTTCGGAAATCTGACATCAGATTCGTAATCAGCGACCCAAAAAAACCCTAGATACCAAGTTTGAAGTAAATCTTAAAATTTTTTCAAAATTCACCCACCATATTGGATCCACCATTTTCGATTTTGAAAATCTAACTTCAGATTCGTAATCAGCGACACAAAAAACCCCCAGATACCAAGCTTGAAGTTAATACATCAATTTTTAAAAAAATCGCTTACTTCTCAAAATCCGACATGTTTTTTGAGGTTAGAAAAAAATCCTGACGTGATGGAGCAAAACGGACTTCGGATTCGTGTTCAGCGCGTCAAAATACATAGGGTTAGGGTATTCCGGTCAAAAGTACATGACACTTGTTTTTTTTGTGGGGCTGTGATGTTAATGAATTTAAAACAGAATTGAATTTGATACCTTTAAACATTCCTTTCAATGAATCGGCTACTTTAGCATGTGCATTATAATTGGTAGGATTTCGCCAAGATCGAGTTGCAAAAAAGTTGTCTATGAAATTCTTTCTTTCTATTAAGCAATACCGACAAAAGTAGTCTGCTTTGCTAAAATTTTCTGTGTACCCTCCAATGTAATTGCTTCCTAAATTGTCGCCAAACATTGCAATCAGCGTTCCAAAAAAAATTTCTTCTTTTCCAGCTACATGAATAGTTAAACCGCGCGTTTCAAGAGACATTAAATCTTTCATAAGTTTATCCAAAAGTGAGAACCACCCAAATTTTTTAAAATTTTTTTCAAAGCATAGCAAGACTAGTTTAATATTATTTCTCTTGGTACGTAAGTACGGAGGCAAGTTTCCTAACATCATATAGAATGCGACAATTTTAAATTTTGGTTTTGAAGTACCAAGCGGATTGCAAACTTCGAACGCGTCTTGGAAAAGAATGATGTATAAATTATTTTTTGAGATTTCGAGTAATTTTTGACTTTTAACGATTTTACCGTCCATAATATTGAACAGTCCTTTTGGGTCGTTTGAAGTGTACGGTGTCTGGCAAGACTGTCGTATGTCCCCGTCTTTTATCATCAAGGTCAGTGTTTGTAAAATAGGAACATAAATGTAGGAAATTCCAGATTGAAAACCGTCTTCATTAAAAAATTGTACGTCAACTGGTAAAATAATATCTAAATTTTTGTAATAAAATTTTTGTCTCTGGTATGAATTTCTTAAGCAACCAAATTTTTTGTCAACTGCATTTGTCAAACCTTTAAAAGACTGTTGAAAAGTTTCCATTACAATTTTTCGATTTTCCTCACTTAAATTTATTGAATTTAACGAATCAACAAATTTTTGTTCACATTGTGAGAAACATTCGACTGATTTCTCAACAACTTTCTGAACTGCTGTCTCTGTCGTACGATGTTGCGTGAATAACTGTAAACACAAATCTGCCATTGTTTTTGTGGATTCTGGAATATCCGATTTCAAGAACTTTTCTCCAATAAAATTTTTAAGCCTCCCATACTCAGGAACAAGTCCCTCTTCGTCCACTTGTTCTTCAACATCAGATGTACTTCCTTTATCAATGAGAAATGGATTGTCGTTGTCTGGAAAAACTGTGTCATCTGGCAAAGAAATCTCTTCTTCAGTTCCCTCCTTCTCATCAAAATGCTTTCTTGTGACAAGTGGCAAAGCTAGATGCATTAGTATATAA